ATGGGGCGAACTTGCAGGAGTATTGGCTGAGGGATACGGGGGCGCTGGAGATGACGGTCACGAATTTCAATCCGGCGACCGGGGACGTGACGTCGCAGGTGGTTTACACGTGTCCGCTCACGTCGGGACTCCTCATGTCGTCTCCCGCACGGCAAAGGTCTCCCGTTTCCCATTCTCATTCAGTAAATATAATCGTAAAACCAACAAATAGGCTTTTGAGAATTAATTTTTTTTTTCCTGACACTCAAAACGATTCTTTGCAGTTCCCTCCTGAGTTCGTACTATTCGGTGTACGCTGCGATGCTGACGGGGCTGCACCTGGAAGCCCGGGTCGACTTCCGGCTGTGTGAAGACCCGACCGGTTCCGGCCAGGACTTCTCCGGCGTCACCAGCGGGGCCTACCTCCGGGAGTTATTCTTTGCCAACCCCGAGAGTGAGCCGCGTCGTCGTTCTGCCAAAATTCTGCCAATTTTGCCATTTGCATTGCAACACCATGAAGTAGTCATCCTAGTTCTGCCAAATGTTACACATCCTTTGACAAATATTGGCAGAGAACGGACTGCCAAAGATGTATTTATAAACGGTGGGAAAATCACTACCAGAATTCAAATAACATATATCAGCACTTACTGAAGCGATCATCCCAAAATTTACAACACCAACACGTAACCAACAACCGTTTCAAAATGTTATCCCAATCGAATCTGTCGATACTCGAATCTGTCGATACAAGGTCATTAACGACTATTCAAGGAGAAGTTGGAAACCGGCAAGGGGATTCCCTTCGAAGCGACATCTTTTTTTTCAGAGCGACTTCACCTCGCAAGCCGATGAAAGCAAGGGAAGACTCGGAGGCACTCGCTGCCGATGAGATCGGCGCCGGTTGGCAAGTTTTCACATTTGGAATTTTTTTTACTAATGCCATTCGATTGCACGCTCTCACGGGTATTCGTTTTCAAAACTCAATTCATTTTCCGGAATTGTTCTAAGGGTTACCTCAGCTCATGGATTTTAACGATATTTCACAAGTTTCAACCTTTATGGCGTTGCCATTTCGACGGCAGCCGGTGTCCGTGCGAACGGTACCTTAAAATGTTGTAATACAATTATACGAGTACCTAGCAGTCAATCCGATTTCTCGCAGTTTCAAACTGCAATGAAGCTGGAATTCGTAAAGAAAATTTTGAAGAAACTTCTGGATCCGAAATAGAACTAAAACGAAAATTGAAGAATTGCGAAAATAACCTTAAAATTTTGTTCCTGAGCAAAAAAAAGTTCACGGCACGAAAAGCTAATATTAGTACCGACATTACTGATATTACAGGTGCAAAATTTTTGTACACTCATTTTTTGCATTTTGCATCAGTTACATTTTACAATTTTACAACATTTTGCGAAAAAGACTGTCAACAGGTAATTGCAGCGACATTTCCATCCTGTTAGGATTCCCCCACACAAACGCCTATACCCGCAGTACGTAAATGCGTACGTGAACGTACGTTGCATTCAGAACGAGAGTCAATCATTCATTTCTTCAGTTCTTGGTTAATTTTCTTCATTCACATCCCGAGAAATTTCTTTCCAAAGCACCCGAGTCGGTGATAGTGAGCGCATCCTTCACCATGGTCTCCGACTTGACCGACGGTGACGGATTCGCATACCAGTCGATGCTGATCGTCTTCGATCCGACGGATCTGGTCATCGTCCTCCCGGCTTACTGGACGACCGTCGACGGCGTCTGGACGAACATCCTCGGCGCGGAATTCTACTTGGAATGTAACCTCGGGGAGGGGGTCGTGGTTTA